GGTGGTGGTGATGTTGGTCTTGGTGGTTGTCGTGGAGGCGGTGATAGTGGTCATGGCGATAGTGCAGAGGTAGTGGGGATGGATCTGGTCATTTTTGTTTTTTGTAACTAAAAATATAATATGTGACCTTAAAATTCGATAACCTGTGACTAAAAATATAATCCGTGACCAACCATTTCATTATCTGTGACCTAAAAATTATATAATCTGTGACTGTGAAAAAATCTGTAATCAAATAATTTGAAAATCTGTGTTCGTGTGACATTTTGTGACTAAAAATATAATATGTGACCTTAAAATTCGATAATCCGTGACCAACCATTTTGTTATTTGTGACCTAAAAATTATATAATCTGTGACCAACTATTTTGGTAGTCTGTGACCGTGTGACCTATAAAAATGTTGTGACAAAAAATCAATATTAACAGGTCACATGTGGAGAAGTCGCTGGAACGGTCATCGGAATAGTCGTCGAAGCGGTAGGGGTGATGGAGGTGGGATGTGTTAACTATATTATCTTTATATCTTTTTATATATTTATATATATAAATAAATAATATATAAATATATGTGTATGTATATGGCTATTCATTTGATAAGTTTTGGTATAATGGGTTGGATATGATTTTTAGTTTGACTCAAAATAATATAAAACTTACCTCAAATTTTGATAATCCATACGGTTGATGATTAAGAATTAAGCCTATTAAGAATTTGGTACATTAAAGAGTGTGTTAACAATATAACGAACACTAATTAGCATAATTTGTCTTAGTTAGCTAATGAGACCCATTATTTATCCCTATTAACTTATTTAATCCTAATCTTGATTTATTAGGTTATTAAATTTCCATTATTAAATATTTCTGGAATTAACTTACACCAAAAATGTTCTTAGAAAAATAAAAGAAATCTTCTAACTCGGGTTCAATCCATAAGCAAGACAAGTTAAAAACATATGATAAAATAATTATATTGTATAATTTAATCTAAGTTTGCTAAAACTATAAATATATTAAACTTGAATTAATAGGCAGGTCAACTGTCTAAGACGTCCAACATACATTTTACTGTAAGAAATATAGTTAGTCACGACGAAAATAATTATATTAATTAAACAATAAATGTAACATTAATACATGAGACATCCAACG